GTTAATTATTTAGTTCAGAATTCTTATGCCTTATTATTTGGCTCTTATTTTAATAGTTTCTGTAAGCCTGTGTATTATAAATGTCTATATTAAACCATCTTAAAAGGTACTTTTAGTGTTGTTGTTATTAAGGGCTATTGAGTAGTAATTCTAATTTGGTTATGATTTTATTTCTACATATTCAATTTAATGTTGTTGTTGTTGTTGTTAAGTGCCGTCGAGTCGGTTCTGACCCATAGCAACCCTGTACAAGGTTTCCAAGGGTGCAAATCTTTACGGGAGTAGAAAGCCTCATCTTTCTCTCACGGAGCGACTGGTAGTTTTGAACCGCTGACCTTAAGGTTCGCAGCCCAATTCGTAACCACTACGCTATCAGAGCTCCTTTAATATTCCATATTATTATGACTTTTGTTGTTTCTACTGAGAAGTCATTATCAGTAAAATTGCACTTATCTACAATTAATGTTTATTTTTCTGCCTTCTGTCCACATTTAATATGTTCTTTTTTTGGCAGTTTTCTAAAGAATGATGATAAAGTCCCTAGGTATATATACATTTTTAACAATTGAATGATGTCATCCTATCAGTATATTCTCCTACCTTCTCTTACCTAGAAGGAGCTAGCATAATGGTTCCAAGTTGGGCTGCTAACCTTGAGGTCAGCAGTTCAAAACTACCACTGTTTTGTGGAAAAAAGATGAATCTTTCTGCTATAATTAAGATTTATAGCCTCAGAAACCCTGTACAGGATCACCATGAGTCGAAATCAACTGCATGGCACACCACCACCTAGACCCAGCAGGGTATAAATGTTGTTTGGTGAAAGTTACATACTATGGCTAGAAGAGGCATTAGATAACACTGCTAGTCTCAGGTTATTGTCTGTTGTTGACTCTATGGCAAAAGAACTCTCTTTAGTAATTTTTGTAAGGTTTGTCTAATTTTTACAAATTATTTTAATTTATGTTTACTTGAAATGGTCTTATTTTGCCATCATATTTGATGACCAGTTTTGCTAGATATATGATTCTTGGTAAGCAACTTTTTTTCTCTCTTGGAGTTTGATACATGTCATTCCATTGTCTTCTTGCCTGCATAGTTTCTGCTGAGAAATCAGAAATTGGTCTTAATAATTCTTTGTAGGTAATTCTGTTTTCCCTGAGCTTCTCTCAGGATTATTTCCTTGTTGTTGATTTTGAATAGTTTGATTGTAATATGTCTTGGTGCTTCTCATTGGTGTCTATCTTGTTTGGAGTTTGTTCAGATTCTTGAATGGCTATCTTCTCATCTTTCATAATATTAGGGAAATTTTATTCCAGCAACCCCTGGACAATATTCTCTATAAGATTGTTTTTCTCTTCTTGTTCTAGAATTCCAATCACATGTAAGTTATTTCTCTTGAATTTTTTTTTTTTTCTTATGTGCTGCTGAGTTGGTTCCAAACCATGGCGACCCTGGATAGGATTTCCAAGGAGAACTGGTAAGCTTGAACTGATGGCCTTGTGGTTCAAACAACTTTGCAGTCCAGTGCATTAACCTTCAATGCTACACCAGGACTCCTCTTGATAATTTCCTACATAAATCATGGGCTTTCTTTGGATTTGGTCTTCTTTTTTCTGATTGTTCTTCTAACAGATAAAGATTGAGAGAATTTTCTTCAAGCTCATTAATTTGGCCTTTTATAGATTCAACTCCACGTCTTTGTCTTTTCAGTATATTATCTGTTTCTAAAGTCTTATTTCTAATCTTCTGGCTTTCTGATCTTTCTTATGGTTCCCATTTTTCATATATTTTGCCATTTTGTTTCCTGAATTCTTCTATATTTTTGTCTATGTTTTCCTTCATCTGAAGTTTTCATGATAATTCTTTCAATTCTTTGAAGTTGACTAAATAGCATTCTTTAAATCCTTATCAGCTCATTCTGATATCATTTCTGTTGTTATATTTTCTGAATCTGTAATTTGGTCACTTGTTTAAGACAGTGTCTTGGTACTTTAGATAAACTGAATTTTATTGTTTTCTCTAAAATATTATGTTGTCATATTTTTACTTAACTAATGATTGTATGTTGGTGTGTTCTCAGGCAATCACCACCTGTCTCCTAGTGGAGGTCATAAAGACTAGAAATGTGACTGCTGTTGTCTGTTCAGTATTTGTGTAGCATAGTTCAGAGCAAGTCCACATGCCTCTGAAAGCAGGCAAGCCATTTCCAGGTGATACAAAAATAAAACCAATATTAAAAAAGTAAGAGGCCTTGATTCAATCCCTAATTGTAATATATATCATGTTTGATTTATTTTGTAAACTAATTTATTTATTTAAATCAGATTTACTTAATTTGTTAAAACAGGATCTTTATACTTCTTGAAAGAAAGACCAACAGGAAAAATCCAAAACAAAAATGGCAGTCTGATTGGCTATTACAAGAACATGCAAGTTGTTTGCCAGGAAGCCATCAAGAAAAGCAATCAAGTCCTTTCAGGTCAATCCCCCCCTTCCAAGACTGAAATTCAAAGGGAACAGATGAACAGGCATGTAAGATTTCTGGTGACCACATTGGTCTATTGGTGAGTGGAAGAGGGGGAAAGTCCACAATGAAGATATAGGCTGAGTTCTACCACATTCCATTGACACCTGTCGACATGGAGATAAGAGAGAGAAGAGGCTGATTGTTCCAAGTGTGGTGAGAGCTGGGGACTCGTGAGTCCATGGACAAAGATATAGCCACCGAGGGTTAGAGCTGAAAGTGAAGCATCCAGTTGATGTGAAGTGAAGGGAGATGCACAAGAATGCCCAAAGTTGTAGAAAGTACCCATTTGACCTAGCCTCTATGGCTTGATGATCACAACTCCACTAAAAGAAGATAAAAATTGTTTTTTGTTAAAGGAAACAAGTGTAAATTGCTACAATTTGATGAACTTGACCTATACTTATGGATGCTCAAAATACCAACAGAGAGGGAAGGAGTTTTCACATCAATTATCAATCCTAACCCCTCTGTATAAAGGGTTGATAGGGATGGGCAACTTAGACACTGGCTACCTAAAATGGGGGGCTACAAAGACATAAAATGATTGGCTTATAGATTTTCAGGAGGGAGTTTAGTTTCAGAATGTGTGGGGGAAAGGTAGAATTCCCACTGAATAGTTTTCTTCTTGTCTAGATGTGTCTAGTGAAAAGAGATGGGGATAAGATTATTGTGATTCTATAGTGAATAATTTTTATCATGGCTAGTTGCAAATGCCACAACTCTAAAATCAGAAGTTCTGTAACAAAAAGGGGAGGAGTAGTTAATCTTACATTCCTGGAATAGAGGACCCTTGGATCATCAAGGGTGAAGAGCATGAGCGGAATGTGGGACCCTATCCAGAGAAGCAGTGACACCAAAGATGGCGGCAGAGATGAGGACATGGAGAAATAGAGCAGAAGAAGATTCTATACTCATGAAAAGAGAAAGGCTGTGAGCTGGTGGCCAGGAGGCAGGCTTGCAAAATGTGCCTTTAAATGATTATATATTTCTCAAGTGTTTTTGTGTACATCCCCCAGAAAAAATAGAGGGAATAGAAGCAATTACTGTTTAATGATGATACACAGAGGAGATTGTAATCATTGCAATGAAACGATGAATGTAAAACTGATGTTTTCCCATGTAAACTATTACTCAGTTCACAATAAAAACTCAAACAACAATGACAAAAAACAGGATCTTTATATCTCATAATTTTGTGGTAAGATTTAAAGTGACATAGAGATTAGTGGATAATTTCAATTATTTTTAAGAGGCAATGCAATATAGTAGGAAACATAGGATCTGAGATCTGACATCCTATTTCAAGTTCTGCTAATGTCACTTGCATTCTTACTAGTACTATCACAGTTATGTTGTAAAACTGCTCGTTAATAATTGACATACTGTTATAATTATATATTTATCATTACAAATTAATGGGATGCTTGGCTAATCTAGTCTGTGATTGGTTGGGTTTGGATTAAGGCAGTAGGTTGGGTTTATGTCTGATTTATATAATCCTCATTTTCTAAAAATTGGGGCTATGTTGGGTGTATCGTTTTAATGGCGCAGGAAAAAATTCCAGTCACATCTCTGTTGCACCATTCCTTTTTATATCCTACTGGTTGAGGCATAATAAAAAAACGAGTCTAGGATATAAAAGAACACTCTGCTAGCTATAAAACCAAAGTAAATAGCATGCAATAGTGCATAATCCTTCCATATACTTTTACCACGTAGACTTGGATAGTTATTAACATAAATGCTCCATGACTACTTTGCAAGGAATTTAGTGATCTTGTGATGAATGCTTGTGTTTGAGCCTAAAAAAAAAAAAGAAAGAAAGAAATTGTAGCAATAAAGGATCAATTTATCTCATATTTTATTTGGAAAACTTTTTAAAAGTTTCAAGCAAAAAGTGTTGGTGTCACTGCTGATTTATATATGAATAAATCAAGCATTATCTATATGTATCTCAGATTAGTTTCTAAAAGGAGAGGGCTAAAATCCTACTTTGCAAGTCACAAGCAGGTGTGGTATGCCATATTGTATTGTAATCACACAAGACACTAATTTTTGATGGATATCTTTTATCTACTGAGAGATTCTCTCCTGGAAACACATTCTAATATAATAAAATGTCAGTATCAGAAAACTGGCAGAATAAGTTAGCGGATTATTTACAATTTTTTTTTTTTTTTAATTTTTACAAAGAAATTCTAACAAAGGATTATTAGGGACTGTTAGAATGAGGAATTTATATCAGACTGGATCACATAAATAAACAAATACTTGGAAATTACTCATGAGTCATAATATCGTCTCTGATGAGAAATTCTTATTTACTTATTGAAGGCAAATATGGTTTACTGTGCTTTTTTGCTTTAATTAACTTAATATGTTTTTAAAATACAATGTGCTATGCATAGTGCACATAAGACATCAAAAATGAGTATGTTTTGACAAGCAATGATTTTCAATTTCCTTGTAGATAGTCTACATGGGATGGTGTGAAGCTCGGGAGCAGGATCCTCTTCAAGACAGGATATATTCGCCAACATTTCTCGCCCTGAGGGGTGCAAGTCTTTACAAGTTTTTGGCACCTCCAGTAAGCAAGTCTATCCTACCTTACTTATTATCTTGTGTTGACATAATACCTTGACAGTCACTTAACAATAATTAATTGCATATTAACAATGAATTTTGAACATCAGATACAGGGAGAAAATGGGAGTTAATAAAAATGTTTCTAAAAATATCATCTGAACTTAAGCATTTCCTTTGTCACTCTTGAAAATTCTATGAATACATTTGTGTTTAGATGGTGGTGGTGGTGGTGTGCCATGGAGTCGATTCCAACTCATAGCGACCCTGTATAGGGTTCCTGAGGCTGTAAATCTTTATGGGAGCAGAAAGCCTCATCTTTCTCCTGAGGAACCACTGGTAGTTTCAAACTACCTGATATTCAGGTTAGCAGCCCAACTCATAACCACTATGCTACTAGAGCTCCTTTCTGTTTAGATCTGAAAAATAATGGGCCCTATTATAATATTCTTAAAAGTCCCATGCAGATTATGGAAAGGATATTTTAAGAAATATTTATAGATATGTTTCAATTTATATTATTAATAAGTTGTTCTGTCAATAATTTAATAAATATTAGGGGAATGGGTATATTAAAACACTAAAAGAAGATTCTCTTTAGATAAGTTTATCATTCTCTCGCCTCAAAGGAAATTTGAAGTCATTTGGATTTATTCAGCACATTTAATTACTGGCAGTAAACTTTATACCTTATATTCAATTTATTATTAGCAAGTTAATATCAAAATGGTAGCAGTGTATCCTGCATTAGTGTTGAGTCTATCCCAACTAAGCCATCTTTCTGTTAAAAGTCTAGATTATATAATTTTCCTTTGGCCAAACCAGAACTATATCCTTGTGTTTATCATTGTGACAGTTAAAATATGTTTATCTCTGTTTCACATATCTGTCTAATTTAAATCAATAGCATTTTAATGATCTCTTTAAGCATATATTCTAACAATTGCTCTTGCACTACATGTACACTGATATACATAATATCTTACTTTTGAAAGTATGTACTTTACATAATAGTATATTCTCAAAAGGATTTATTTAATATCAATATAAATTGCCAGATCTCTTTCACTTGCAGATATCATCATACAGGGTCTAGGAATGATCAAGTCTAGCTTATTGCTGTTTTGAATGTCTATGTCTACAAAAAGTTCACAGGAGAAAAGGTTTAATATTTAATCTATTCTAGCTGTGAATAATGTATTAGAACAAGACACTCAGATGCATTTCCAAACATAAATGAGTGAAATGACTATTGATTCTTTCATAATATCATTATGGAACAAATTCTTAATATAAATTATGTGTTGTTGTTTTTAACAAATCTAATGCTCTTTTCTGCGTGTATGTGGTAGTAAGTCAAGAAAAGTAATACCTGTGAGTCGGTTCCAACTCATAGCAACCCTGTATAGGGTTTCTGAGGAGTAACTGGTGCATTTGAAATGCTGATCTTGCAATTCAAATTAACCTTGGCCCAGTACTTTATCCTACAGCACTACACCAGGACTCCACGTAGAAAATATACACATTATTTAAAATAACAAGATACATTGAGTATATAATTAAAGATATTTGTTGAATAAAAAACTTTAAACAGTGATATGTCTTAGAAAAGAGAAAATCAAAATATTATCCATGGGCATTTTGTTGAATAATTTTACAATTGAGGGACTACCTTAGGCTGGGTTCTCTAGAGAACAAAACCAGTGAAACTTAAATATGTATGTTGTTGTTAAGTGTCATCGAGTTGGTACCGACTCATAGTGACCCTGTGCACAACACAACGAAACACTGCCTGGATCTATTGCCCACCTCAATATTCTTTCTGCACATGAGCCTGCTGCTGCCACTGTGCCAATTCATCTTATTGGGGGGTTCTTCCTGTTTTTCTGTGACACTCCACTTTACCAAACATGATATCCTTCTTCAGGACCTGGTCCATCCTGATAGTATGAGAGACTAAGTCTGGCCATCCTGGCTTCCAAGGAGCATCTTGACTATACTTCCATCACAGATTGATTTTGTTATTTTGGTAGTCCATGGGACTTTTAATAGTCTCTTTGCATTAATAACTCAAATGCATTAATTCTTCTGTGATCTTCTTTATTCAATATCCAATTTTCATGTGCACATAAGGTTATTTAAAATACCATGGCCAGGGTCAGGGGAAGTGAATCACACTGTTGTAGAGTTAAACAAATTCCATGTGTGTGGGTCAAATGAACCAAGATTGACAGGTCAGGCAGCAGGCAGGCAGGTTGGTGAGACAGATAAACGATCCAGACCTAAGAGATTGCAAGCAAGCTTTGCCCCAGTGTTCTATATATTGGAATTAAGCCACACCCCCAAAGAAACTTCCATTTAGTTGACTGGCTGCTCAAAGCAGAGCTCATCGTAGAGTTGATTATATTATGCTAGATCTCATCATGAGGGATTATATTTTAAGTACCAAAACTCTCAGAATCTTGACCCAGTCAAGTTGTCACAAACTTTTAAGTATCACAGTTCACTGCTTGTCAACTTGGCATTGTACAGATCTCTTTAAACTATGTATAATTTCTAAATAGAGACAATTATAAATTCATGCTTGGTACTAACATGATACAACTAACACATGTACAACAGAAAATGTATTTTATATATTTACAATATATTTACAAATGTATTTTATAATTGAACAAACCATAGACACTTAATGTACACATACAAGGAAAAACTACTTACACAATTACAGTCCTCATTTTTGCAACTGGTCACATGGATATAGCTTGTATTTAGAACTACTTTCTTCCACCACACATTCAATATTCCCTTTGCTTTCAGCAAGCACCTAAGTTGTAGTTTATCACTGACTTTTATCATAAGCATGGTAGTATAAGAGAAGTCTTCAGGGACATCCTGGATTCTACCCAGATTCCTTTTTTTCCTGTGGATCCAGAGTCATAAGGGGCCCAAAGTGACCAAGGGGCATATTTATCTTCCAGTTCAATGTAATCAGTGTTGTTATTCCAAGTGGGAGTATGCCTTCCTTTGGGACTAAAACATTCAGACCTGAAGAGTTTAGGGTTGCTGGGACAGGAAGCAAAAGTTTGCAATTGGGTCACTAGGAAAAACAGTGAGAGGTATCATTCCCATTTCCACCTCTAGGTTCCTGGACCCTTGAATGTTGGCTATTGAAGAAATAGCACTATATATTGGATGCTGGTTTAGAACAAATACAACCTCCTGGAGAACACTGCAAGGTTCTTCCACTTAACTGGTGCCATAATTATGTTTTTGAGGATTATTCCACAGTTCTATCAAGCCAACTGATTCAGGATGATGAAGAATATGGTTAGACCAGTGAATTCCATGAGCATGGGCCCATTGCCACACTTCATATACTGTGAAGTGAATCCCTTGATCTATTGCAATGCTGTGTGGGATACCATGACAGTGGATAAGACATTCTATAAATGCATGAACGGTAGTTTTGGCAGAAGTATTGCATGCAATGACAGCAAATTCCTATCAAGAGTAAGAAACTTCCATTTAGTTGATTGGCTGCTCAAAGCAGAGCTCATCATAGAGTTGATTACATTATGCTAGATCTCATCATGAGGGATTGATTACTATGTTTTAAGTACCAAAAACTGTCAGAATCTTGACCCAGTCAAGTTGTCACAAAACCTTAAGTATCACAGTTCACTGCTTGTCAACTTGGCATTCCATAGTGGAAGTGGTCCAATGTATTAAACTTGCCACTAGGTTGCTGGCTGATGTACCTTGAGCAGTGGTCCTATGTTGAGTCTATGGTCCAGACTCAGTTACTACTGCTGGCAGACTGGATTCTACCCTTCCACTCAGCAAGGCTGTAGTCAGGTAATTCTTGATGAGTGGAAGTTCATGAAGTTTATGCATGGAAGCCCACCATCTCTACCTCCATGGCCATTTTGCTCATGAGTCCATTGGGCAATAACCAGGGTGGCTAAATAAAGAGGATGATTAATTTCCACAGAATGCATCTTCCTAGCCACTTGATTGTAAAAATCTTCCTCTGCTGAGGAAATCCTTCAGTGAGCATTCACATGAGACACAAATATATTCACTTTTTTAGTCTATTCAGATAAGTCTATCCACATACCTCTTCCATACACCTTCTTGTCACCAATTTTCCAGGTATGTTTCTTCCAAGTCCCTGACGATTCAGTCAAACCATTGGCTGCAACCCATGAATCAGTATGTAGTCATACATCTGGCTACTTTTCCTCCCAAGCAAAATGAACAACCAGATACACTGCTCAAGGTTCTGCCTATTGGGAGTATATTCCTTCACCATTATCCTTCATGGGTTTCCCAGAAAGGGGTTGTTTTGCTGCTGTTGTCCACTTTTGAGTAGTGCCTTTAGACCTATACTGTAGAACTATCTGTAAACCAAGCACCAACTTTCTTTTCTTCAGTTAACTGATCATGTGGAAGTTTCCATGAGACCATAAGTGTATACTGAGAGAGGGAAGGTAATGTGACAGGATTGGAGGCCATGAACATTTGGGCCATTTACAGCTTATTATGCCTTCAGGTCCTGCTTGAGCCCAATCTCATATATACCATTACCATTTAATGATGGCATGCTACTTTGTGTTTCTAACTTTGTTAATCTTTGGGTCAGAAAACACCCAGTTCATCATGGGCAGTTCTGGTGACTTGATGGCCCATTGTTAGGGATTAAACAATAAATCAGAAGCTATTTCCCAAAAGGAGAGTAGTTATCTGCAGAGGATGGCATGACTTTGCTCTAAAATGTAAAGGGTCTACACCAGTAAGGGCCTGCCAAAGGCCCCAAATTACGTCTCTATCTGGCAATAGTACTTCAAGCACCATTGGATACGCTGTATCATATGGCCCAAGTGATAGAGTTGCTTGCATGGAAGCCTGAACCTGTTACAGAATTTTCTCTTGTTCTGGGCCCACTCAAAATTAGCAGCTTTTCAAGTCACTTGATAAATAGATCTGAATAACACCCAAATG